CCCCAAAACCCCAAAACCCCAAAACCCCAGAAAAATGAATCATGAATAGATAAGCCTAAAATCAAATTAATAATTAGAATAGAGTATATTATTTTTATTCAATTTGTTTTTTGGCAATATTCTAAAAGTATGGAATGTGCAAGTTAGAAATAAGAGTCTTCTCTAGTTAGGTTTTTCTAATATTTACATTAAAATTATTCATCAGTAAAGTATATTATCAATTTTTCAACAATGTCTCTTATCATCATTTAATCATTCATATCAGCATCTATGTTCCAATAGATGACTTAAATCTGAGTCTTGATAATTTCAGATTTGTTTTTAAATACATTTTTTAGCGTTTTATCTTTTAAAGGCCATTTTTTCAAAATCTTAAGAGACAATAGAAATATTGAAGCCGTTAAATGCTTGAAATTTATTTAGAATATCTTCATTCTTTGTATCAGACATCTACAGCAAGTACTTAAAATATTCTAAAAATCTTATCTTGATTAGGTATCAAATTTTATTTTTAATGGGCCCGAGAGAAATTATTCTAAAATCAAATTGGATTCCTCAAGCAAATTTATTTGCAAGAGCTTGTAACTCAAAACCTGAATAATCTAAAATTCCATCTCACAGATCTCGTCGTTGGAGTACTTAAAATGTGAAGCATCTTTCACAATTTCTCTTAGACTTATAGGTATTACATCTTCTAGTTTTGAACTAATCCAAATGCAGGTTAGTCCAATCAGATGTAAATCAACTTAATAAGTAGGCTATGAGGAAGCCATGCCCCCAGTATTTTTCATTTTCTTTGATAATTCAGAGAAGCATCTATCCATAATCGCGACAGCTTGGAAAAATGTCTTATCGTTGCTTTTATTGATTGCTTTAAAAACTTGATACATCCAATCGATCATCCTAGCTCGATTTTTCTCGCCTAATCCTTGCTTCTCGTAAGATCATAATAAGTTATTAGACATTTTAATCCTCTAGCAAGCTATCATTTTGCCTACTGTATATTATAATGCCCTTTTTGCAGTTGCTTAAGGAATTGAGTTCATGATATTTGTACTACTCTATTAAGCACTGATCGAGTATTTTTTTGCATCTTGAGTTTAGCTTACATTGATCATAGGTGAAAAGTTAGTTAATCAAACATCAGTCTGCCTGAACTTAATATATTTATTAGATAGGGCACTGCTAATTTTTTGTCTTATTTCATTCTAATTTTAAGACATTCTCAGATTATTCAATCTCTCCTGTATAGACTAATTCATTGATTTAGTAAGTGAAGAATTTGTTGTCATAATTGAGTGGTAATATTAGGAGTTAAATTACTATCAACTATTACCCTCTTTTAATTTAGGGTCCATATTTTTTTAAATAGCCCTCTAAATATCTCTCTATTTTCTTATTTTACTTGCAATTCCTGATATTTATCTCTTTGGAGGATTTGCAACTTAAATCGTATAATAATTTTCATTAAGATCTGTTGGTGTTTATGATTGCTATTATTGTAGCTTTTTGAATATCAGTTAATTGAAACTTTATTGTATTTTTGATGTCTAATGTGTCATATCAGCTCTCTATTGCAACATGCTAAAGAAACTTCTTACTAATAAAAACAAAATAAATATAATTAAAGTAAGTTGATTCTTCTAAATTAAAAAAATACATTATACACGGGGTTTTGGGGTTTTGGGGTTTTGGGGAGATCGGAAGAGCACACGTCTGA